AAGAACAATGTTCCTGTATACTCCGAACTAAATTTAAAAAAAAAAAAGAAACTAGAAATTCTGAAAGACTTTTGCTCACCGCCACAGGAATGGCTTTGCTATTGTCCCTCAGAAAGAGCCATTTACCTCTAGACATTGACAAATGTAGCTCAAAATACTCTGAGGCACCCTATTGAATTCAAGAGCCACAAATTATGCTTGAAATAAATATTTTTAAACTGATGTGTAGAACAAAAATTAATTACGAGTAACAGAAACCCAAAACAAACGCTCTAAATCCCCAAAACAGTATTAACTGCAACATCAAAATAACCTGAATAACTCCCACAATGGAAAGAGCTAGTTAACAAAAAAAAAAAAAAAATAGGAAGGACCAAGGATGTCAGGGACGTAACCCAAGGGCAGTTCAGCAGCCACTCCAGTGTCTTCTGCTTGCTCTGACATTTATGGAGAATAAGGATGAACAAGTAAAGATGGTCCTTATTTGGGGGCATGCTACCACCAGTAGCTCTGTAGTGATATACAAGAGCTTCAGCTCCATCACTCTTTGGAAAGCTCTGTGAACAAATTGTGGCCCACACTGTTGGCTGTCCCTCTTTTGGCCTTCATGTAAAAGCCCTCCTGAAGGGACAAAGGATGAACAAATGAAGCAGCGGTACGCACTAGACACTAGGTTGAAAATGAACTATACAACTTTGGGGTGGGAATGGGAGGGAAAAACTGGGAGAGAGCAAGGGAAAGGGTGACATTGTCCCCAAAGCAATGTACTCATTACCTGACTTATGTAACTGTAATCCCTCTATATTAACAATAAAAAGCCTTCCTGAACCTTGTGGTGTGCGGCAATCAGTTTACAAAGGAAGACTGAAGCTAGTAACAATGGAGACAGAAGTCACGAGAAACTGGAAAAGCTACCTGAAATGCATTATTCTAGCCATGTTGCGCAATGGCTTTTGCCAGCTTAGGCCCTACATTTACAAGGCAGACCAAATCCCACCTTATACAATGTCATCTCTAGGAGTAATCTAACATACTGTGCATGTTCTTTAGCCTTAAATCGCAAAGGGATTGCTAGCATGGTGCTAGTGATTGTTCTGTTGTGCTGTCGTCTGTAAAAATGCACACACAAAGAAATTCTGAGGGTTAGCTTTTCAGAAATTGAAACACAAAGAGAAAACACAGAGAAAGGAGAGAGCTGCTATGAACTACCTTCCCCCACGGTTCCTTGGATTTCTAAAATCAATGTTTCCAATTCATTAACAAGCTCATACCTAATTATAAGAGTAACAGCTTTAAAATTAACAAATATATGCCTCCCAAAGGGAAAACATCTATTTACAAGTGTGGGCGGGGAGTAATAGGAGCCTCTCAGCTCTGTGGTCATCGCTATCGATGCTGTCTTTCGTACCTTACACTGAGGTAAGGGACAGACACATCTGCAACAGGAAATTCTCACAAGGCACCAACTGCTTATTCAGTAAACACTTGGAGGAACACTCTCTCCTCTGCCACCTAGAAGCAGTGGATTTTAAGGTAAGTGATGGTCAAGGCTTCAAGCAGTGCTGCTAGACAGATAACTGGACTATTGTAGCTACTCAGACTATTGTTACCTGCTGGTATTTTAAGTCTGCCTTTGAGCTAGTCTCTCAAAACAGTCCAAGTCTTCCTCCCATCCCCTATAAACTTTCACTTTGTTCTGACATAGTACCAACTCCACCCACCTACCCCACTTTCCTGTCTTATTTTTCCCCACCCAATTCGTACATCATTACCTCCTCTTCCAAGAAAAGACATGCACTGCAGATCAGTGAGAAACAAATGGTCGGTTCCTATTAAGATATGGTGATGTACATTCATCTATTCACCAAACAACTAACTACACACATGCAGTGGGAAGCCGTTTGGATCTCACAACTCCCTGCACTCTGTATCAATTTACCTTCTCCCAGACTCAGCTTGACCCTTTGGCTGGAGCTTCCACAGAAGCACTGAAAAGCCTCCCAGCACCCAGCCGCGCCACTAGCAGCACCCTGTTGAGTTTTCTCAGCAGAGGGCACTGCAGGATGCTATGGGAGGAAGAGCTCTCCAGCTGTGCACAGCTGCCCGGTGAGATCAGCAGCACCTGTGTGGCTCTGGGCATCCACACTCTCAGATCACCTGTGTCCCCATGACCTCATTGCTCCAGCTTGCCCTGCTTCTGAAAACAAGACCAATTCTTTGAGGTCAGAGAGAATACTAATTTTTTAAAGTGCATGCGTAATTGGCATATTGACATAGTAACATTCTCATGAGAATAGAAGCCACTGGAGCTACGGGTCTAGCATTTTTTTTTACTTCCTTTTCTCAGATAAGTGTCTCACTAACTTTGCCCAGGCTGACCTCGAACTCATGGTCCTCGTGCCTTTGGCTGTCAAGAAGCTGGGATTACAGATGGCACCAGCGGACTTGGTTTGTATTTTCAGTTCTTAGTGAAATGAAAACATTTCCTTGAGTGTAAATTAAAAATGCTTAGTTTGTGAGAGCAACTGCATTTCTGGCATAGATGGACATACGCTTCCTTAGACAGATTTCCCTTCTCAACTGGAATAACATGTAGGGATTCCTATGTAAGCAAAGCCTAAAAGATGTGAGATAACATGAAAGCAGTTTGCGGGAGGAGCATCCCTGGAGGCTCACTGAGAGGTAGGCAGCTGTATCTTCTCGAGAACGGAAGCATGTGACCACTGGGACCAACGTTCAATGTAACACCACTCGGTTGTCAAATGAATAGCCTTGTTATTCGTATAAAGTACGATAAATATAGCGCTACATTATTAAGGACCTACATCTACAACTCATCCCTTCCACCCCCTGAAACAGTAATTACACTCCCAACGACCAAAGGAACTGACAACAATTTCCTGAAACTTTGCAATTAGAAGGCAGTTAGTTATATGTTTGTTTGTTTGTTAATATGGGATCACAGTGTGATCCACTGGTGTTTGGTTAACATTTATAGGTCCTTGTATTTGATCTCCAGAACTGCAAACATGAATTAATCAATCAAATAAATAAATATTAATAAGCAAAAAACCAAACAAACAAGAAGCTCTCGGAGGGCAAATAAAAGCAACTTTGATTTTATTCCTTACTAACCTTTAAGCTTGTGTTGGGGGATAGGGATCGGCTGCCTTTCCCCTATACCTGGATGAAGCTTGGAGTGGCATAGGAATTGTTCTGACCCAGGACTCCCAGACTGTGAAATCCTACAGTCACTTTAAATGCAGAATGCCAAGTCAGTTTTAGAAAGCGTTTGTTCCACATCAAACAGTACTACAATCCTTAGTTAATGGTTAGACTTCTGCTCACCCTGTTTGCCTATTTGTAGTTCCTAGCCCCTCCCTGGTTAGTGCTTCGATGGGGAAAGACTCTAGGAGAGAGCAAGGTTCTTTGCAGAAGCCCTTAAAGCCAACCTCACTCCTATTGTATTCTTCAGGCCTCCTCCTTCTTGATGTATCCCAGCTCTCCAATTGGCCCAGGTGACATCGCCCATCTTTTTTCCTGAAAATCCACTGAGAACTGACTTGGTCTTCAAGACAGGTCCCTCCTCCCCAACTTTGCTTACTACACTAAGATTCTCCCAATAAACTCTATTCACTTTGCCTCTAAAGCCATTTGCCAGCCCTTTTGAGCCCCTGTATTTTCTGGAAGTCAGACACTAATCTAACCTTTCTATCCTAACAATGTCTACAATGACTACAATGGGGGGCTGGCTGAGCATGGGCCATATTTCATGAATTTCCTCTGCTTTTTGAGAGCAGAAAGCATTACCAGTTTCAATCCATCCTATGAGATTCTCTTGTGAACAGCATCGTTTCTATTTTCCTCTTTACCCACAAATGTCCATCTTAATCACACATCTTTATATCTCCTCATCCATTTCTTGGAGACCCCATGTCACAGCCTGTGCTATCATAGCAGTCTGCTAGAGTACTCCATAAATGGCAACTTTCTTTAAAGGCATTCTTTAAAATTCAATGATGAAAAATTAACATATATAACCTATATGTCTGGCACCAGTGGCTCATGCCTGCAATCCTAGCTACTCAGGAGGCTGAGATCTGAGAATCCTAGTTTGAAGCCATCCCAGGTACATAAATCCAAGAAATTCTTATGTCCAACTAGCTATTAAAAAGCCAGAAATGGAGTAATGGCTCTACTAGTAGAGTGCCAGTCTTGGGCAGAAACTGCTGAGAGTACACAAGGCCCTGAGTTCAAGCCCCAGTATCTGCACCAAAAATAAATACAGTTTAAAATGCATATATATATATATATATATATATATACAATTATAAAATCTGGTTAAATCATTTCTAGTTTGTCCCAGTAGCCCATTTATAGTCTAAATAATGTATTTAGCTGGTATAATGAAAGCATTGGAAAAAGATACCTTGACTAAAAGGGTTAGCTATTTGAAACATTACCTCGAGTCATTTAAATGTAATCATAACTTTCTATTTGCTACCTTTTATCTTCAACCATGGCCTCTACTAAGTGACCATTTTCTTTTTAGTCTTCATTGCCCTGTTACCTCTGTTGTCTGTTCTAAGGAAAATGATTAACAACAAAGCACACGGTCAGAATAACAAGAAGCAAGCACGTGGAGAGAGAGTAGCAAGAATTACTCATACAAAGCAGGAGCTGGTGGCTCATGCCTATAATTCTAGCTACTCAGGAGACTGAGAACTAAAGAATGCAGTTCCAAGCCAGCCTGGGCAGGAAACTCCATGAGACTCTTATCTCCAAAAAGCCCAAAGTGGAGGTGTGGCTCACGTGGTAAAGTCCTCGCTTTAAGCAAAAAAAAAATCTCTGGGACAGTATCCAGGCCGATTTCAAGCCCCAGAATGAGCACCAAAAACTGAATAAATGAAAGACTATAATCCACATATACAACAAGGATCATTAAACTATCGTGTTTCTATATAATGATATAGTTTATTAAATAAGACACACAATCTATATTTAAAAAGACAAAGATTATTTATTAAGATTGAATGTAAAAGATGAACAAAAAATAGATTTTATTCACAGAGATGAATAATAAATCTTTGTAGTAGTTATTTGCTAGATATCTTTGAAATAAACACATCAATTTCCTTTTCATCCAACACCCCCAAAACACCATAGAATCCACTTAAAAAAAAGACATATGAAATGAATAATGAATGATACAAGACATGGTTTACTATTGGTCAAGTGATAATTTCTTAAACTGTCAATCATAAAGTGACATATACATGAACATCTCTGGAAAATGTTCATCAAACATGCAGGAAAATAGGATTCCTGAGATAACTGTTGGCTTTTGATGGTAATTTTCCTCATTGTCAAATCATCTTTCCTTAAGTTACTTGGGAGTGTGCCTTGAGGTTAGAATCTTCCATTTTGAGCTAATTTTCTGTTTCCTACTAAATGAATGAACAGACTCTTATCTTTTAGAAAGGGTAGAAATGTCGCCATGGTGTGATGATCTTTCCAAGATACGCTATATAGAAAAAAGAACACTGAACACAAAAGTCTTTCCTGAATGACTCTCAAGTAGCCATGAGGAATGTCTATTTTCTAGTTAAGCAGTCCTTCCTGGAGAGCAGGCCAGCTGTTGTTCAGTATTTATGGAAATAATCTCTGCTAAATAGTTATCTGCATCTTTAAAGGCAAATTGCTTAAAAATTATATTCAGTTTCTTTCACCCCCAACCAACATATTTCTTCACTGTTACAAAACAAACACAGGGTATATTGAAACAGTTGACAACGGCTTCACAGGCTGTTCTGCCATTTAAGACCCTTAACCTAAGTCAAAATAAGAATTCTAGAGTTCATACTCAAAGATCAAGCTCTAAACCAAACTTCATAGGGTAAGCAAGGCTTTGATGATTTCCTAATTCACAGAAGTTTAATGTCATTTTCAAAACACTCCTACAACTTGCTAAAACCCAATAGGAGCAATCTTTCTTTCTGGGGTTCATTAAGACCTTGGAATCATTTGTCTCTGTGCTAAAAATGTTTTCATTCTCTTCCACATTTGGGCTGTACCTGCTCTTGGATGCATGAGAACAAACTGATGGCAAGAAAGTCATTCTGAAGTCATTGGAAACTTCCATCCTACTACGAAAGCCTTCTGTGACCTATACATGACGCATCTTGTATTTTTCTCTGGGTCTGGGTGTTTACGTGACTATGGAACACATGTGTCTTGCCTTATGATGATTTTAATGTATGCATAAAACACTGAAAAACATAGTTTTACAGAAGACCCATACACTGAGTATTGCAGATGGGAACCAAAAACCTTTTGAAACATTTTAAACAACAAATAATGGTCTGAAAGCAGTAATTCAATTATCTTGAAAACAAAATTATCTTTTAACTAAATAGGGTAAGCTTAAAAATCCCTTTGGAGATATTTCCTTTTAATTTCTGAAATGCCTTCATGAACAAGACCATCTTCGGTTTCCCATCACTCCAGGTCGATTTCTCCTGCGTACAAGGTAATGAGCAGAATGGCCGTGAAGCCAGTTAGCATTCCAGCATTCTGAATCATGAAGAAGGTGAAATCCTTTTTTCTTCCAGTTACCTTTTCTCTCAGCATATCATTCATCTCTGGAAACTAGAAGATAGATTGTTAGATAACTGTTGCCATCTTGTGGTCAAACATAAAATGGTCGCACATAGATTTCTACAGGAGAGCTGAGCATTGACTTCCAATGTTTTGATGCTTTAATAGAACTTGTGTGGCTGGGGTAATTAATGCTTCAACCATCAATAGAATAAAACAACTGAAATTGTGTTCTTCAACTGAGTCTGTTGGGATTTTTCTCATTTTGTTTCGATCACTCCTCTCGCTTCTCACTCTCTCTTCCTTCCACATCATTCTTTCAACACCCAAAATGCACAGTGCCTTTCTACACACTCTTCACGATTTTTTCCTAAACTCCATTCCTTCTAACTTTCCAATAGATGAAACTCCACAGGTTTTATCTTAAATCGCTTCCCATAAATTATCCTAGTTTATACTAAGTAACCCAATGTTCGCCACCACCTTCTATTTCACTGCATTTTGAAACTACTAATGGTTTTTTTTGTCATGTGCATGGCTTCTGTTTGGTTGGTTCCTGGTTTGCTTCATTCTAGATAGAAAACTTCGTGAATATAGGATCTGTGCCTATTTTTACTCTGCCTTGGGTCTAAGGGCCTGACTATTTTAGGTTTGGCACAGAGTATATACCAATATTAGCTTGTTAGACAGTTTCAAAATTAGCCATGTATTTATTTCCCCCTTTTTTTCAATTTGTTTCCTTTAGCTCATTCTACCTTCACAAAAATCCTTAAATAAATGATGCGTTATTCTAGGGTTAAAGAAAATGAAGCCAGTACAGTGAAAGTAATTAAAACCCCATGCTGTTTTACTTAAAATGTACCCTTTGTCAGCTGCATCTTATCTACCCTTCATCTTATCTACATGAAGAAGCTATGTCCGGATATAAGGAAATGCCAACTTTTCAAAACATCTTCTCTTATTACTGTCTGTAGATGCTCTGGTGCATTTTCTCCATGTATAAAGTTCTCAGAATCTACAGTCAATGTATGGACTTGGCTTAAGAAAATCCAGTCAGATACAATGGTTGAAAGCTGTGAGCCAATACTTTAAAAAGTAAATCCACTGTATGGATATAGAACATAATTTATTAGTATCTCTTCTTCAAACTGAACATCTCTAATAGATTCTGTTCTTATATCAGAGAAAGGACAAATGACCACCTACAATCAAGATAGTGTAAAGCATTAATTCTGTGGAGAAAAATACAAAAGTGGCAGTGGTTTAAAGAGATAAAATCTTGTTCTTAAAAGGGTCTGCAAAGAACAATGAACCCAGGTAGCTATAATTTGAGCTAAGAATTCATATGGAGATTAAGTTCTTAAATTATATATGTAATTCATATAGGTTACATGAATTCATATATAAGTTACATGAATTACATATATAATCACACATATGGATTAATTTTTATAAGTGATATAAATTTAACTTCATACAACATGAGTTATATAACTATAACATGTGTAAATATAACATATATTATATAATTCATATTAAGTTACGTTGTTTCTGTAATTATATGTGTAATTCAGTCCCATATATAATAAAAACTATTCCTTGATTTTTATACACTAGATTTGCATGTTCTAGAAGGTTATCCACAACTCCCATGGACATGTACAGGACATGTTTTAACCACACATATATACTCGCACAGTTATGAATAAAGACAATGACATAAATATAGACCTACATATATATATACTGACCCAAAGAAATATTGCCAATTTTAATTTTTTCCCAATTTTTTGTGCTAGTTTTTGATTTGCCCCAAAAGTTTTTGCTGCTCTGGCCTTTGAAGTAAGCAAATGCTAGTTACTTTCCCAGCTTGTTCCTCTTCTAATTCTACATCCTCACAAACCAGGGGGAAACGATTACATGGGGCAGAGAGCTTTGTGCACCACAAGAGCAAAAGAGACCGAAGTAAATATGCCAATTTCAGAAGTAAAAAAAAACTCACTATCCTTAAGATCAGAGATAAAAGAATCAAGGAAACCCACTTCCAAGTGACCATTGGTGCAAGTGAACCCATTGAAATGGGAATGACTTTGTGCACTGTGGAAAGCAGGCCACCCTTCTTCAATTTTCCTCTTAAAGCAAACAAAGGGATTCAATTTCTTACCATATCTGCCAGAGAAATGTAGAGAAACATGCCTCCAGCAAGTGCAAATATAATATTTGGAGCAAAATTGTTGCCCACCAAAATGCCGAATGCCAGCCCAACGTAGCAGGAGCAGGCAGACAGGAAGTTGAACAGCAGGGCTTGTCGGGTGCTCATCCCTGCATTGAGCAAGATCACAAAGTCCCCTAGAAAAAGAAAAAGGAAAAAACAGAGCAAATGAATCTCTCTCTCTCTCCTCTCTCTCGGTCTTTCTCGGTCTCTCTCTCTCTCCTCTCTCTCTCTCTGTTTCTGGACTGAGATCCAAGATAATCATCAACATGCACAATGATTGCTTCAGCTTGGTGCATCGACAGTTCTTGCTAAAACCAAGATGAAGTCACCTTTGCCACAGGAGCAGTGTCTCTCACCTAGCTCATGCGGAAACTCCTCACACAGGATTGCAATGGAAGTGCTGAGTCCCTGGAGAAGAGATAACGTGCAGGAAGCTCCAATGGCCAGGCCGTCAATGAAGTTGTGAAGGGCGTCACTGAGCGTTATCATCCAGGCAATTGTCCCGATTTCTGTCAACTTGGGCCCCTTCAAACACGTGCATGAACTTGACTCCTTTTTCCCATCCTGTAAAACAGCAGAAAAGGAAGCAACAGGATAAGCAACTTTGTTTTTTCTTTTGAAAGTCTAAGAGATACAGAGAAAGAAGTAGGCGGTGGGTTGTGTCTTGAGAGGCAAATGGCTCCACCTGGAAGTCTTTGGAGTGGATGGGAAACTTTCACAGTATATAAGAGAGAAAAAGGAAACTTATGTGGGGGGGGGGGTGTTTGTAAATGTTGAAGGTTGAAGGGATGACACAGATCAAGATGAACTGTGTACAGAAACAACTTTGGTTAAATGGCAAAAGGAATTCAATACAAATTCTAAAAAATTAAGAAAAGTAGGGAAGGGATGGGCTGGGAGGGATGATCAAGATGCACTGTATTCATAAACTGCTTTGTTGAATGCCAACTCCTCTGTACTACTACGTAAAGATAATTTTAAAAAATTACAAAAAATGAAACACGGTATGAGAAAGCAAATGAGCCAATAGGTATACTTTGGAGACGATTTTTACAGACATTTTAGTTTCCCTTGAAATCAGTCCTTCAGACTAGTATGAACAAGCCTAAGAATTTGATTTGTATCCTTACTTTAAAATAAAGGTATGCAAAGACTAAATTTAAAGTCTTCTAGCGATTACAATTTAAATGTGAGATCCATAATTAAAGCATGGTGACACCAAGACATTTGGTTTCAAGACCTCCTATGTCACTGTGTGACTATGAGCAAATTATCTCCTCCAGTTTCTTCAACTGTGAAATGAAATGAACATATTATAGTATGCATTCCTTGTTCAACAACTTAATTAAGTCTCCACTTGGTTCCAGTAACTATGCTTGGTATTTAAACTCTAACAAGATGGCCCCTACCTACCCTAAATTTCAATTATTTGCAACAAATTCTATTAAGCTTGATTGAAGAAGGTTTGCCCTTATGCTAACACCTATTTCCATTTTGAAGCAATAATAAAAAGGAAATCCTATGACCGTTCGAAGGAATTTCAAGTTCCATGAAATTGACATGTTATACAAAGTCAAATGATAAGTGCCAACTAGAGTAGTTTTCAGAAGTTGTGGGTAAAGATGATACAATGCAAATTCATTTTTTAAGTAGGACAGCAGTTTTCAGTTGATGAACATTATATTTCTAATTCTTCTCCCTCGCCTCCATCTAAGCACCTAATCAACATATTGGTTGAACAACTGCAATTGATAAAACTTTGTGTTGCCACAGCCAAATTGTGGAATCAGCCAAAGTGTTCAATAATGAATGGATAAAGCAATATGATGTACACAAACCATAGCATATTACTCAGCCATAAAGAAAATGGAACTATGTCATTTTGGGGAAATACATGGAGCAGGAATTCATGTTATTGAACAAGATAAGACAAGTAGTGGTTGGAAATATGGATTAGTGGTAGAGTGCTTACCTAGCATGCATGAAGCCCTGGGTTCAATTCCTCAGTACCACATAAACAAAAGATAATGATAATATACATAAAGATAAGCCATGTATCACATTCCTGCTCATTTCATCACCATCATTACAGGATATAGATTTGAAAGAGGGGCTTTCTGAAGGAGGAATCGATGGCAGAAAAGAGAGAAAGAAAAGGATGGTGGAGTATGAAAAGAATCAAAACACAATACATATATGTGGGTACATATGTATCACCACCATCAAGTCCATCAAACATGTTTTAAGAGCAAGGGAGAAAAACAGAATGGAACTATATAAATGAGGACGTAAAATTTTTCAAAATACACCGTACTCATTCTTGGAGTTATCACAATGAAAACCATCATATTATTAGTCGATAGTGAAAGCAGAAAGCATGACAATATTTACCAACATTTTAAAAATGAAATAAACACACTGTGCTGAATGCTATGAGGAAGACACCAAAATGCCAACAACTTCTATCTTCAAGAACCAGTGAAGAAACATTGCCACCATTATCCAGTGGAGGACTTCTCCTGGAACCATTATCTAAGAGGTTTGACATTACTCACACCCCGCTTCATTTCTCAAAACTTTTGGGGGGTCGACTGTCAGAACTAACAATAGATCCTGCAGTCATTTTTTTTTCACCACTCCATTAGTGGAAAATCTATATCTTTTGTGAAGCTTTTTTGGTTGCTTATAGAAAGCTGAATGTCATTTGGTGCAAATGAGCTCTTAGACACTATGGAAGGGTCAGGCACATTAGCAGCCACATTTGTCGCAATTGTCATGGTCACAATCACTACAGCAAAGGCATCCAGAATTTATTATACTCTAGACACTGACTTAAAAGCCCTTCCGATGTTTTCTTCCAACTGTTCAATACTTTCGTACCACTGTTATTATTTTAGAATCAAGGAAGTTAAAACAACAAAAGGTGATTGAACTTACCGGTAACAGTGCCACAAAAGGAAAGGTAGAAGTTTTTTGGTACTGCTGCTACAAATTAACAGGATCAAGGATTCTTGTGCGAAATAGTGAGAGCAATACACAGAATTTCTGTTGCTGGCAACAGAATCTTTTCAGGAATAGAAGCAATGTTGGAATAAGTCTCTAATCTCCTTTACTTTATAAAGCAAATCTCATCTGCATAAAAAGAATTCAACCCTGTCTTTAATATTACAGCTATATCTTAAATGCACAACATAGTAAAGAATTACCATCCAACAATACATGTCCAGACGTGTATCAGACATATGTATTGGACACAAAGTGCCTTGGATCAGGTAGCTGGCAGGAAATAGAAAAGTCATAAAGTTCTATTTAGAAGCTTACCACCCAGATATAGCTAATAATAGTGTTTTGAACTAAAACATCATTTTCATTTTCTCACTTGGTTTACCTAATCACATGCATATAATCTATTTCCTTACTTGTGATAGTAGGCAAATGACTAAGTCTTAACTACCTAATATCACAGAATCTGCATACAAACACCATTAATTCTGCAAAAGGAAAGTAGATTAATATGGCACACATAGTTCTATTACCTCTAAGCATATGCTACATTGCATTTATTTGTTTTGCTTTACATCAGCTCTATGAGCTTAGGTCTCAAATACTGTTGATAAGACAAAAAACTTATACTTTCTTTGTGCTGGTCCTGGGGCTTGAACTCAGGGCCTGAATGTTGTCCAAGAGCTGTTTTGCAAGGTTAGTGATCTACCACTTGAGCCACAGCTCTACTTCTGGTTTTTGGTGGTTAACTGGAGATTTGGGGTGGTTAATTGGGAGACTTTTGGTGGTTAACAGGAGTCTCATGGACTTTGCTGCCTGGGCTGGCTTCAAACTACAATGCTCAAATCTCAGTGTTCTGTGGAGTTTGGATTACGGGATGACTCACCTGAAACTATGTCACTAAGCAGAGAGAACGCTAACCTCCTTTAGTTACGTCAGTGAGTTGTCCCACATTTTATATAATAATTATGTTTTATATAATAATTATGCTTTAATTATTTTTAAAGTAATGGTACAAAGGGGTGTCTGCTTTATATGCCAATGTATGAATACAAGGCATTTTGATCAGTCACTTCCTCTATCACTTTGCTACCTCCTATTGTCTGCTGTTGCTGCTGTAGTTGTATGCTTCCTCATTTGTTTGCTTTTACACTCTGAGGCTATTTCTTTGCTCCATCCAGCAAAAAGATGGAGTCTGAAATAGAGTCATCCTAAACCTCACTTCCCCTTGAAACCTTCAATGAAGTTCCTAGCACTGTCACTTCCGTTATGAAGAGAAGGAAAGCCACAACGAAGAATAGAGTAGTCAGAGGAGGTGGAGGGTAAATATTATATGCAAAGTCCTAAAAGTGGATGAGAGACAAAGAGGAAAAGAAAAATGTCTGAAGAAATTACAGGATGGAGACAGCAAGTGGTCTCAGTATAGAACAAACTTAAGCAAGAAGTTGGACGGGAAGGATGAGGCCTGAAGGAAGAGGATCAGGAAAGAGAGGAGTCACAGGCAGTAGGTATGGAAGGCTTGGTTAGCAGCTCCAGGAAGTATCCTGGGCTCAATCACCCCTCATTCCACCCCGAAGGGGGGGAGGAGATGCGAAATAAATAAAGCAGGATTCACATTGTAAGTTAGTGTCTCTGTGAAAAAAAACCAAACAACTATTTCAGGGAAATATTCAATTCCAAATTTTGCATCCCATACTGAAATAATTTTATATCAGAAGATTTCTGGTGAAGAAGGAGGAAGAGAAGAAGGAAGAGGAGGAGGAGGTAGCAGCCCATCAAATAATGATAAAATGAGGTACAGTATTTGTAAACAAACATCAAATCTATGATCAGTAAAGAGAAATTGCTGTAACACGTAAGAATGATAAAATGTACGTTTAAAAGGCATCTGGCCAAGCCAGGCTCCGATGGCTCATGCCTGTAATCCTAGCTACTCAGGAGGCTGAGATCTGAGGATCGCAGTTCAAAGCCAGCCCAGGCAGAAAAGTTCATGAGACTCTTATCTCCAATTAACCACCAGAAAACCAGAAATGGAACTGTGGCTCAAGTGGTAGAGCACTAGCCTTGAGCTGAAGAGCTCAGGGAGAGTGCTCAGGTCCAAAGTTCAAGCCCCATGACCACAACAGCAACAAAAAACATCAGGCCAGAGGCTCATGCCTATAATCCTACTACTCTGGAGGTTGATATCTGAGAATTACCATTCCAAACCAGCCCAGGGGGGAAAAAAAAAGTCTGTGAAACTCGTGAACCAAAAGCAGAGCTGTGGCTCAAGAGGTAGAGTGCCAGCTTTGGGGGACAGCACCCAGGTCCTAAGTTTAACTACCAGTACCAGTACCTCCCCAAAAAAAGATTTCAGAGGGTACAAAAGCTGCAGCATCATGCAAATGAGTTTGCCAGTCAGTGGACAGAAGTCTAGTCTGATTTCAAGTCTGAGCTCAGTCCTTGGGGAAGTGCATTTCATCTCTTAGCTTCAGATTCTTTGCCTGTAGAATGAAGAAAATCATACTGAAGTCTTCATAGAATGGTGACAGTGTTCATAAAGATGCTATTTATAAATTAGT